CGGAGCGGGGATGGGGAATCCCCCTGTCACGGCAGAGAGCCGTGACAGGATCGAAAGGTGAGCGAACCCGGTGTGTGTTCGCTCACCTCCAGATCTACTGAGCCGACCTGTGACAGTCTCATTGTCACAGGTCGGCTAGAACTATGAGGTGAGTGGAAATCACTCATCTCATAGTTCTCCTTTAATTATTCATCTTTTTTTTTTCTATTGGTTCAACTCAACTGACTTGTTTTGTTTTTTTTACCTCGACTCTAACGTCTCTCCTTTATTAAATACACAAGTGACTGCGATCATCAGCTTCATGTAAATAATTCTATATATGCCAATGCTATACATTAGTAACTAGTTGTAGTTTTTACTTATATATGTACGTGGAGCAGCCATATTTGCTCAATACTTATGCAGATCCCACATCCTGATTAGTAGCATGTTCCTCATTCTCAGCAAAAAAAGTCTGCCAAATCTACGGGGATTTCTGAAATACAGATGGAGTTCAGGTGTTTCCAATGAAAGGTTCTGTTAATGCTGCAACATACAAAGTCATTTTAGACAATTGTGCACTTCAAACCTTGTGGGAACAGTTTAGTGAAGATCCTTTTCTGTTCCAGCAATACTGTCCCATGTACAAGCCAGCTCCATGAAGACATGGTTTGATGGATTTGGTGTGGAAAAAAATTAAGTGACTTGCACAGTTGTCTGACATTAACCCTACTGAACACTTTTTGGATGACGATGGGGAGCCAGGTCTTCTCATCCAACATGGCTACCTGACCTCACACGAGCCAGGTCTTCTCATCCAACATGGCTACCTGACCTCACACGAGCCAGGTCTTCTCATCCAACATGGCTACCTGACCTCACACGAGCCAGGTCTTCTCATCCAACATGGGTACCGGACCTCACATGGGGCAGGCCTTCTCATCCAACATCAGTACCTGACCTCACAAATGCTCTTTCGGCTGAATATGCAAAAGTGCAAAGTCCCCAAGGACACCCTCCAAAGTCTTGTGGAAAGCCTTCTGAGAAGAGTATAGTGTTATAACCACAAAGGGGAAGAGGTGACTCCATATTAACAGCATGGTATTAAAACGGGATGTCTAGCAAACGTATATAGATGCGATGGTCAGGTGTCCACAGACCTTTGGCCATGTTCTGTAGTTTTAGGTGTGAGGCAACAGGACACAAAATAATGCTTCACATTTTCACAACTTAGTTTGGAAACAATAAAGCTGAACCCCCGAAGAGTGGCGCGCAACCAGTTAATAATTACTCAGGAGAATGTTCAGTGTGTCTGTATAGCCTCCAGCACAGATGTTTCTTATCTTCAGCTTAGGTCTTCAAGGGCAATCATGCTACAGGGCCAAGATATCCTCCTGCAAACATCACAATCATGAAATGGGGAGTGGTGGTGGGGGCTTTCTGTATTCATCTCAGCTAGCCCCGCCTCTGGCACAGAGTCAAGGCATTACATGTGATTTATTCACGGCTGAGATTTTGGCCTTTAGTTTGCTTTTCTATCATCACAGAAGATGTTGCAAAATACGGGGGCCGAGAAAGTAACCGAATCTCAACAACACTGACTCACTCAAGATAATACACAAGAAAGGGCAGAACATACAAATAGCTTCTTCCAAGACACGGCACGATACGCCGAGCATCCAAACAACAAGAATTCCTGTTTATTGGGTCACGTGTACATTAAATTTGTGTTCTCACTGGAAAAAAAAAAAAAACATGGAGTAAAAACCTAGTTGTCCTGATTCAAATTAGTTTTTTTTACCAAGCAGTATAGCTTGGCCCTGCCTCACCTACGCCACTTTGTTCATGATCATGACACGTGTATGTGTGTATGTAATGTGGCCATTGCCGGATAGTCACTCACAAAAAAACCAAGAGTGGTGCCATTTATTTGAATTTCATGTGTATTTGCACAGGAACTCTGAACAGCAACTTGCCAAGGCTAAGTCCACTCTATGTAGTTTTAGATGCATGCCCATGGGGGTCTTCAGAATGGAATACATCACAGTTTGCACACCTGCCTACGGCCACCAACCAACAGGCTGTTTGGTATACACCAAGGCTGTATTGAGCCGAGCTATTTATTGCTCATTGCATGGTTGTCTAGCATTGTGTTTCACTGTACAGACTCAAACTTTCAAATGGTCTGTCACGTCCCTGTCTGATCAGCTGCTGTTCGGGGTTTGAACCTGGGTCTCTGGCATGTAAGCGCACAGGCCTCGCCATTCAGCCACTGGAAGGACCTGGTTTCTGCTGCAGGTTTTTTGTACTCAGCAAGTCTCCGCATGGACACTTTGGCTCCACCTGCCAACCAGCTGTAGAAGATCTGCAATTATCTCAGGCTTTAAATACTTCCTGTGCTCTGAGCCAGTTGATTTAGGTTAGTTTCCTGTGTGAGCTACCTCTGTTGTATGCGGGATATACACCGTGACTCTTGCCCGTTTCCTGACTATT